TCCTTTAACTCAACAACAAAAAGACAAGACAATTAAAACATTGACAGAAGACTTAAACGTATTTCCAAGGATATACAAATGACCAACAGGCACACAAAAAGGTGCTCAACATCTTTTGTCATTAAGGAAGTGCAAACCAAGCCGACTGTAACCATTAGAATGGCTATAATCAGAGACTGAAAATAACTAGCAGTGGCAAGGATGCAGTCAAAGTGGAACCCTCAGGGTGCTTGGGTGGCTCCGTCAGTTAAGGATCTGACTCTTGATTTCGGCTCAGGTCAGGATCTCAGGGTGGTGGTATTGAGCCCCACATCCGGCTCTGCCCAGTGCGGAGTCTGCAGAGATTCTCTTCTTCTCCCAACACCCCCAGCTTGCGGGCATGTGCTCGCTCTCTCAAATAATAAATAAAAAAAATCTTAAAAAAAAAAAAAAAGGCGGAACCCTCATACATTGATTGCTGGTGGGAATATAATACGGTGCAGCCACTGTGGAAAAAATTTGCCAGTTTCTCAGTAAGTTAAACAGAGAATAACCATATGATCCAGCAATTCCACTTCTAGGTATATACTCAAAAGAACTGAAAACAAGTGTTCAAACAAAAGCTTGTACAGAAATGTTCACAGCAGCATTACCATAATACCAAAAAGTAGAAACAACTAAATGTTTATCAATGAATGGTTCAACAAAATATGGTATACCCACACAACATAATATTATTTAGTAATAAAAAGAAAGGAAATTCGGATACATGCTACAAAAGAAGCCAAGCACAAAAGGCCAATATCATGTATGATTCCATTTCTATGAAATATCCAGAACAAGAAATCCATAGAGCCAAAAAGTAGATTAGAGGTTACTAGGGGCAAGGAGTAATGGGAATGGATAATTTTTGCTATAGAGTTTCTGTTGTAGTGATGAAAAAGTTTTAAGAAATAGAGAGTGGTAATGGTCGTACAACACTGTAAATATAATTAATAGTACTGAATTGTACATTTAAAAATGGCCAAAGTGGGAAATTTTGTTACATATATAACCACACACACACGCAAACAAACCAATCTAATGCCAAACTTCAACATACAGAATGAGATGCAACATGAGAATCTTAGTATGAGACTCTTCACAGTATGAGATTCAAAAATAAAATTATACGTCTTCTTGGGTTCCATTTAACAGGCTTACACTTTCAGTTCACTCTCAGCTTTAAAACGAATTTACATGTATAAATTCTAAGACTTGAATAATGTTCCTATTATATGAAGTATTACTGTTAGATTTTCTCAGCTTAATTTAATTCATAATGTGAGACCATTTATCTATCACACTTTGGCGTAACAGAACTGTAATTTGAAAAGCTCAAATGTGTAAGTTGTAATGTTCAAAAGCAAAAAGCAAACTCATAATGAGATACAATCTCATACCCTCTAGGTATGGCTATAATTAAAAAAAAAAAAAAGAAGAGCAATAATAAGGGTTGGCAATGATATGGGGAAACTGGAACCCTCATACATTGCTGGTGGGAATATAAAATGATGCAGCCACTTTGGAAAGTGGTTTGGCAGCTTTTCAAAATTATTAAACACAGAGTTACCATATGACTCAGCAATTCCACCCAAGAGACATGAAATCATATGCTCATTGAAATGTTTTCACAAATGTTCATAGTAGCATTATTCATAATAGCCAGAAGGTAGAAACAATCCAAATATCCATCAACTGCCAAATGGATAAACAAAATGTTGTACATCTACACAAAAGTATACCAGCTGAATATAAAAGGGAATAAAGGACTGATAAATGCTACAACATGAACCTCAAGAAAAAAAAAAGCCAAACACAAAAGACTCTATGTTGTATGATTCCATTTTTATGAAATGCTCCCCAAAAGGCAAATGTATAGAAAGTAGTTTAGTGGTATCTAGAACTGAGGGGAGGTGGATGAGAAGGGTGGGGAATGACAAGGGACTGCTAATGGGTACCAGGTTTCACTTTGGGGAGAATGAAAAGGCTCTAAAATTAGACTGATTGATGGCTGCAGAATCTTGTGAATATACTAAGAACCACGGAACTGTATTTTAAGTGGGTAAATATATCTCAAAAAAGTTTTTCTTTTTTTAAACCTGCTCCATCTTTTGGTTCCTACAGCCATCCAACTTTATTTCTTATCATTCACCAATATGAACCTTCTAATATGTCCATCCAGAATCCATTGGAAACCCCACACTCATTTCAATTGCTTGACTCTGCTCACGTAGTTCTCCTACTGGGAATATCCTCCTTAGGTTACGCCCCAGCCACAAATTCATTTGGAAGATTTTCCTGCCCAAGTCAATCCTCACTGACCTAATTTTCCTCTAGATTCCATACCACTTGCAACTGTTAATACTGTAACCTCAAATATATACGTAAAGCAATTTCATCTTATGTTCCATCACCAGCTAATTTTTGCCATAATCTCTAATTCTTGCCTTTAATCTCTTTTATCTTCTCAGAGACAAGCTAGCATCTTGAACACAGATTGTATAAATGTCTGCTAAATAACATATGCACGCCTTAATGCAATTTCATACGTATGTGTTCAGTAGTACCCAAGCTTTAACAAATATCCCAAGTCTTAAAGCAGGAAACAGAAATGAAGAAACGGGAAACTAAAATGATGGAACATGCTATCACTTCTCAACAGTGTATTAGAGAAGTCTATGTTCTTTTTTTTTTTTTTTTTTTTTTATAATTTTATTTTTTATAAACATATATATATATATATTTTTCCCCCAGGGGTACAGGTCTGTGAATCTCCACGTTTACAAACTTCACAGCACTCACCATAGTACATACCCTACCCAATGTCCATAACCCCCCCCAACCCCCCTCTGCCCAGCAACCCTCAGTTTGTTTTGTAAGATTAAGAGTCACTTATGGTTTGTCGAGAAGTCTATGTTCTTATTGTGCATTTCAAGATGGCCTTTTACTGCTGCCCTCAAACCTGGGTGTACTAGGCGTCCTAATATTTTTTCTTTTTAAGTAGGCTCCACACCAGGGGCTCAATCTCTCAACCTTGAGATCATGACCCGAGCAGAAATGAAGAGTCGGACACTTAACCAACTGAGCCACTCATACCCCCCAAGGAAGAATTTAAATATAAAACTCCACTTCCTCCTAACAGCGGGGTACCAAGATTCAAACCCCAATATCTTTAAATCCATTCAGGACAAAGCTTACACAATGAAGAATGGAATACTGTACAGAGTGTGTGTGGTGGGAGTAAGAATGTCCTGCTTTCAAAGGATAGAGGGTTGGCAGGGGCAGAAGACAAGTCTTCTAAACTAAACTTCTGAAAACAACAAAGCAGGTCATAGCAAAAAAGCCACAAATTGCTGAGATCTGACCTAGAGCCTGACTGCAGAAGCCTAGGACAAACAAATTCAAAAGCATTTCTTTCTGATACTGTGAATAGGCATGTCTAATTCCATCAATATGAAATTCCTCAACCTGGCCCTGAGAAGGTACAAACATTGAACACTTCTCATTTGTTTAGCTTCAGAAATAAGTATTTTTCCTTTCCTCTATATTTTTACTTATCTGGTAACTTGCCTTTTGTTGTTTAAAGGCCAAATACACATACTGTAATCTTTCAGACTTGCTTATGGGATTTCCCTGGTAGCAAAGTAGTTTTCTCCAAATGTATCATTATTTTGGTCTGTTACAGATTTTTTTACTTGCTTAATTTGGGTCTCTTTAATAATTATTTTCTTATTTGTAAAACTCCTTTAAATTATACCCTTCCTTTCCTGTCATTTCCTTTTTAATATTCAGTGGTTTAGATTAAGGGATTATGAAATGTATTTAAGGTGGGTAATTTCTCACTTCAACATTCAGGAGACTATTAAGATGCAAAGAGAAAATAAATAACAGAAACGCCTAGAAGAGAATGTCTTTCACAATTTATGTATTGTTATTTTATCATTGGCTGGCTTTTCTGAACTCACATTTACAGATGCTAACACTCCCAGTTTAAATGTTCAACAAAGCATTTTTATTCTGCTTTGTGTAGAAGGCTATCAAGATTTCCTCAAACTATGTATGAATACGGGCAGCATTGATTATCATTTTGAATAATGACTTCCAAGCACTGGGACAACTTCTCCCAGTGAATACTTTGTTCAATAATAAGAAGAGCAGGCATCATTATCAAGAGTCCAAACGTACTGCACCAGACAGAGCAGTTATACACAGGTCTTGTCATTTGATGGAATCACCCAGATGTATAAATAAGAACCTTGACTTCTGAGAGATAAATACAAAAAGCACCATTTATCAACACACACTTCTCTCTGCCCATTATTATATTACTGGCCAATGATGTTAAACAGGTTGTAAAATTGGTAAATGAAAGGCTTTCAACTGCCTGCAAGTAAGAAAAACTGGTAACTTTTAAGTAATGTGCAATAAGGGAAAGCTAACAGTGCCTGACATGTACCAGGAACTCAAAAAAATTATTGTTGTACAAAGAATTAAAATCAGAGCCCTCATGAGGTATATGGAATATAAATAATTTCTTATAAAATAAATGTGTTCTTTAAAGACATTGGAAAAGAAAATATGCACATGTATGTCTTCTTATTTTATTTTTTAAAATATGGCTTACATCCAAAACTATCAACTGTGGGTTGAATGTGCATGAAAGAGATCTGAAAAGCTTTATTAATCTCTTCAAGTTTCTCTAGTTCACCAATTCACAGTTACCTAAGGAAAGCAAATGGAGCACTAATTTAAAAATTCATTCCTTTCAGTCACAATGTCAGTAATATAGCCAGTAGGACAGGAAATCAGAAAAGCCTAAATTTTCTATATCTGTTCTTTAAGGATTACTATTGATAAATCTTCAAGATCTAGTTATGGTTTATCCACATAACTGTTACTTAAAAAAAAAAAAAAGGCAAACCCTCCAAAGAAAAATATCAAAGAGCAACCTATCCTTCAAGACGGTAAGCAAAACTTACTTCAACTTGGAACAGTTCTCCAGCCCCCTCACAGTCATTGGATGTGATTATTGGAGTATGAATATGCACAAAGCCACTGTCCTGGAAGAAAAGAAAAACCACTTTTTCAGCATATTTGTATATAAAACAATTCTAAGAACATATAACTGATTATACTATTAAAAAAGCACTGAGAGAATGCCATATCAATTCTCTAGCTTGCCAAGCATAACTAATAAGATATCAAATTGAGTGTTTTATTGTGCAGAGAAGCACATTGAATTTTAAATCAAGAACTGACTGAGACATTCTCTAGTCCAACATGATTTCAAAGATAAGGAAATTGAGGCCCAGAGAGACTTAAAGAAAAATTCACACAAATAGATGATGGCAGAGAGAGCCAGGACTGGAACCCAAGCCCTTAGGATCTCTCTGGCATATTTTTTCTTCCCACTTCTCTAACACACTGGTAGTGATTCAACATACACACACTCTCTCCAGGCTAATGCACAATGATGTCACCCACACTGCTAAGGGACTACAAAGTGATCAATATGAAGCTGGGTTGTCATTTTGGAATGAGACCCCCAATTGTCATAAACCACCAAAAAGGAGAAGAAAGTTGACAAACAGGGACTGAAGAAATAAATAGCAACAAAGGCAGAAATGATTTTTAGGAAGTCTGTCATTAAATTGATGGCACAGTACACTGTGCATAGGCAGTGCACATGGCATAGGCAGTGCACTTCCTTTGCCCCAAGGAAGATTCTGAACAGCAAATCCATCCATTACTGAGGCGCCCAACTGCAATTCTTCCGCTCCAAAGTCTGAGCTATTTCCATTAGTGAACCACAAAAGCTGTTTGCTAGTAGGACTGAAATAACCCAGCAAATTCAAGGTTATGCTTCTTTCATTTTGACTATGGATGTAGGCAAAAGGTTACAGTCGGTGTAAATGTTGCAGGTGCGCAAAGAAGGAACTCAAGTGAACTTACGGTGCAGAGCCAGAATAGTAGTGTTTCACACAAAAATTTTGGTCTTGAAATCAATGCAATGAATTCATACATGCACATTTAATCTCTGCCACATTGTGCCTATCACTGAGGGAATGTAAAATGTCTCAGTGCATTACACCAGCCGCCTCCCAAATTGGCCTCTCCCTTCCTAAAAAGGTAGAATTCAAGTATTCTGGCTCTGATACAAAGTATCCAGTTAACAACTTGTCTTATGATGTAGACTGATTAAATATTCAAACTATAAATTAGGAGTCTCAGAAAATATTCAAATATGTACTTAACCTGGGAGCTATGAACCTAGAGGTGCCACACAAAGCACATTACAGAGAATGAATAAAATATAATCAATAACATTACTACATAAAATTTTTATCTCCTAGGAGCCAGAATTATGGACATGAATCATTTATTCCACATGAATATAGGCAACTATGAGCAGGAGTGCAGTAAACAAAGAAAGGAAGTGAAAAATCCAAAGGAAACGAGGGTGGTGAGAGGGAGGGGGAGAGGGAGGAGAAAATTTAACGGCTAAATGTAATTGCCAAAGTTAGAACTGGTCAAATGCCACAAGAAACAAAACTGCAAATCTTATGAAAATAACTATATGGGCTTAAAAAAAAAATCACTCAAGCAGCAGAAATTATTCTTAATACTCAATTAATGCTAAACCTTTCAAAAGGTGTCATCAGCTTTTTAAGCCTTAATGCTGCTAAAAGGCTTATATCAAAGTCTAAAACATTCCCCCCAAAAGCTATAAAGAACAGAGTCCAAAAGTAGAATAAAAAAGCACAGAGAACAAAATCCAAAAAGAGCAAGTGGACAGGGAATTAGAAAAATAAAAAGGAAAATAAAAAGCCAGGAGTGGGGGGAGTACTGTCTGCCTCCACTAGGGTAGTGGTGTCAGGTATCCATCCCATCCTACAGCAAAGAGGTCCCTGCTTCGAGACAGGAAGGCCGGAGAAGGAGCCAAAAATAAAAGTACATGCTTATTCAATTTTTCTTTTCTTCTTTTTTTCCCTTAAGATTTATTTATTTATCTGAAACAGAGAGAGAGAAAACATGAGCGGGGGTGGGGGGGGCGCAGAGGGAGAAGCAGACTCCCTGCTGAGCCAGGACCACCCCTCTTCTCCACCTCCTCCTCCAGACCCTGAGTGGGGCTCAATCCCAGGACCCTGTGAGCCTAAGGCAGAAGCTTAACCGACTGAGCCATCCAGGCACCCCTACTCACCCAATTTTTCTTTTTCCACCGACCACCTCTAAATATCTAAATGTTTTTCATACACAGTTTAGAACCAGATATTTTATAAGACACTGAGTATCTGAAAGTTATAAAACTCACATACTAAGGCCCATGCATATCACTCAAAACCTCATGGATTGTATTTTTCTTTAGCACTCACACAAAGTAAGCATCATTATTAAATCAGAATCAACAAGAAAGAAACATGACAACAATTGCTAGCCACTGGCAAAAAAGTGATAGGAAGACAAAAAAAAAAATCCATAAAAAAGCAGTCACAGGAACTTGAAGACACAATAGTCTGGGGTCATTCAATAGAGAGGAAAAGAATACACACTGATGGGCTTCTAGGTCCTTGCCATACAGAAGAGGGAAAAATATGATACTCAAATGAAGAATCTGGACTCATCAAGAAAGGGCAAACTCTTCTACTGGCTCAATTAGGAAGCCAGGGAAATACGTAATATATTTTAGGATAACCTCCACTGGAAATTGGAAAAAAAATTGTGGCTAACTATTCTGTTATGGGAGGAACTTAGCTTTTCTAAATAATTCATTCTTGAGGACTCTAGATATCCAAGTTTTAGTACATAGCAAATGTGTCAACTTTATGAACAAACCAACTTATACACAAAATATTTTTGATACTCAAACAAAAAAAATGACTTTCTAGTCTAGAGATATTAGGAAAAAATAGCACCTAGAACAGTACCCTTTTTTTAAATTTTATTTTTTTTTCAGTGTTCCAAAATTCATTGTTTATGCACCACACCCAGTGCTCCAAGCAATTATGTGCCCTCCTTAATACCCACCACCAGGCTCACCCAACGCCCCACCCTCTCCCCTCCAAAACCCTCAGTTTTAAGTTAGGATACTTTAAGGCATGAAACTCTTAGATTTTAAGTCTTTTTTTTTTTTAAGATTTTATTTATTTATTTGACAGAGAGAGAGATCACAAGTAGGTAGAGAAGCAGGCAGAGAGGGGGAACCAGGCTCCCTGCTGAGCAGAGAGCCTGATGCAGGGCTCGATACCAGGACCCTGAGATCATGACCTGAGCTGAAGGCAGAGGCTTAACCTTCTGAGCCACCCAGGTGCCTCTAGATTTTAAGTTTTAACATCTTTTAGGGATTCTAAAATAGTAAGTCACAGAAATAGTACCAAATACTAAATAACATAAAACTATGTAATATGCCCTTTAGTACTCTGTGATTTCAATTCAATCCTAAGTGTTATACATACAAGTGGTAACAAGATAGAATTATCAGGATTATATTTTCCAGGACTTCACAATTAAAAAGCGAATTTATAGGGGCGCCTGGGTGGCTCAGTGGGTTGAGGCCTCTGCCTTCGGCTCGGGTCATGATCTCGGGATCCTGGGATCGGGCCCCGCGTCGGGGTCTCTGCTCGGCGGGGAGCCTGCTTCCTCCTCCTCTCTCTCTTCTCTCTGCCTGCCTCTCTGCCTACTTGTGATCTCTATCTGTCAAATAAGTAAATAAATAAATAAATAAATAAAAAAGCGAATTTATAGCACTCAAAAATTTCCTGCATTTGTACCTATAACCAACAGTGCTAAAACTCATTATTTGCAACCACTTAAAATATCATTTTGCTTGCTTATAATATTATTTTTTTAATTTCAGATTTTCTGTTTGTTATTTTTAAATTGTTTACTTATTTGTCAAAGCTTCCAGTAATAAATGTATAAAGTAGGTAAAGCTCACTTGTTAATGGACTGCCAATATCACCACCTAGTGGCCAGAAATCTATAAAACTTTCAGTATATAAGAAGGTCTTCCTTTTCCACTGTTTAAAGCCATATGGGGCAAAAAACATTTTTAGATCTGAAATTTTCTGTTTGTGTGCTTCAAGCACTACTGAAAAGCCATATGGAAGTTGCATAAGAAAGTTTATGAGAGCATATGGAAATGTACCCTTTCAAACTATAATAGGATTATTTTTCTTTGTTTTATTCAAAACTGTATGCTTCAAAGCCATGATGCTCTTTAGCTGTTTCACCAGAAACTAACTCTGAAGGAGCTCTTCAAAGAGCAAGAACTCTCTTGGTAAACTACGATAGGGCTGGGCCTGCATGAATTTGGATGCACCCAAGAGAAGGGTATGATGCTAGACAATCAGCTGGATCTGGAGAAATGGTATAGGAAGGGGTCCAGAACCACTTGGAATAACACTGAACTTCATCTTCTGGGTCACTCCTGATCTTTGGGGCCCTCCCATCCACATGGGGGAAGGTCCCTTCACCTCATCAACACAACAACTATGTTCCCCTGTGGCTGACAAGCAAAGCTAAATAAGAAAAAATGCCTTTAGGTGCCTACCAATCTATTTGATTAACACCAATAACTTTTCAAAAGTAGTGCTTACCACATATAAAATATGTCTATGACCAAGATGGAAAAACAGGGACCAGATTTACCCTCCCTCTTGAAACAACTAAAAACAAACAAACAAACAAACAAAAATAAAACTAAAAACCCCACCAAAAAAAAAAAACCACACGAAAGGATGGTTTTCAAGACCATGGATATCAGACAACAAAAGACAGCGATCGCTGAGGTGGGAAACAAACTTAGTGAACCCTATCAATAGCCTTGCTTAGTACTTTGAGATTGTCCAGGCCATAGCAGGAAGAAGAGGAAAATAAAGTGGAGCCCAGCACATGCATGTGGGAAAACTATCATAGGCCAAGGACAGAACCATCCAGAAAGATTAGAGGAAACAATGCCTGGGAAACGGTACCTGTTCCCACAAGCCAGACTGGAAAAACTCAAAATTCACAAGACACTAGGTAAAGTACTCAGGAAGGCTTTGCCTCAGTAGTGGAAGTTAACTAGCCCTAGACTAGTTAACCGGCCCCATTCACCAAATCATAAGAGTAAGACCCAAAAGGTTCAGAGTTTTCAAGTAGCTTAACTGCACACCAAAACAAAGCTTAATAATATCCAAGATGGTAAAATTTTCTGTCTGGCATCTAACCAAAGACTGGCATATATACAAAGAAGCAAGAAATCATAACCTGTAATGAGACGACAAAAAGCAGTAAATCAAAAATAAATAAATAAAAATAAAAGCAGTAGATCAAAAAGGACTTAACAACTGACAGACATGTTAGACATAAAGACATAAAACAGTTATTAAACAGCTATTAAAACTGTATTGTGTATGTTCAAAAAGTTAAGTAGAGATATGGAAGATATTTTTTAAAAAGGTCCAAATAGTGCTTGTTTTGGCAGCATATATGCTAAAACCGGAATAATATAGAGAAATGAGCATGGCCCCTGTGCAAGGATGACACACAGATTCATGAAGCAGTCCATATTTTTCCACACAAAAGGGGGAAAAGAAGGCCCAAATCAAATATCTAGTTATGAAACCTACAATGTTAGATGAAAAACGCACTGGATAAGAATAACAACAAATCAGTCATCACAGAAGAAAACATCAGTAAGCTTGACGACCTAGCAATAGAAACTACCCCCTAAAAAAACACACAGGGAAAGGGAATTTAAAAAAAGAAGAGAACATCAGTGAGCTATGGAGGTATCATTAAGTGGCCTAATATATGGGCAACTGAGGTCTCCAAAGGGGGTAGGTAACATAAATTTTGAAGATGCAATGGCTGAAAAACCTGAGGAAAACTAAAACACATAGATCCAAGAAACTCTACAAGGTCTAAATGCAAGGAACAAAGAAAACTGTGCCAAGGTACCTCATAATCTAATTGCTCAAAACCAGCGATAAAGGGACAAGCTTAAATTAGCCAAAGAGAAAAGTACCACACAAGTAAAGGGTGCTTGGAATAAATAATTGTAACTAACACAACTTTCAGGATAATACTCCAAAGTTACAATAATTCAACTTTTACACAAGAAATAACAGCTGGGCGGGGGGGGGGGGGGCGGGGGGAGAACAGCTAAAAGCACACAAAGCACCTTACCTTAAAGAAAGAATGAATAGCAGCCGTGGCTTCACTGCGAACCCTCAGTATAGAAGCCAGAGCATTAGTTCTACATCTAAGGTGAGGGTATTGTCTCAGATACTCCAAAGGATGCCTCTCTTTATATTTCAAAGGGAAAGCCTGCCAAAAATTGGAAAAAAAAAAAAAAAAAACAAATGAAAAGCTAAAAAAAGATAATGTTCTATAATAACAGTTTCCAGGACACTGGTTAAACACTAATGCTTCAGAACAAAAATAAAAAATTTTCCTTCTCTGTTTCTTAAGATAAGTGAATATAGTCCACATTAATTCCAAATTAGTAGATTGGTAGGTAGAATCAGAGATGTGGGTGTGACTCTAGCTTTACCACTTACTAGGTGTGGAACCTTGGGCAAAGTTAGTATTACTGAGGCTAATCTGTTATTTATCAAATTTTCATCCATTAGCTTATATCAGTCACTACTTACAAACAGAAAGATTAGGATATAATTATGCAAAATAGCCCACTGTTTGGCACATAAGAGTTCAGAATATTGTAGATATTAAAGATTATGTTTTCTACAGCTGTGTACACACAGCTGGTTTTCAATTTTAAAAATCACCCAAATGTCTTGAAAGCCCATAATCACTTATAATCAATTGGCACTGTTTTTCACTGTTTATCAACATGTCTAAGAACATGAAGGAGGGTCAACAGCTTTCTGTCATCTGGCAGAGTAATGTATACTTACAAAAATTTCAAATTATGACTCTATGTAGAAATATTATACCCTGCCCACCCTCATGTTTCAAGCTTAAGACAGAAACAAATCTTCAGACCAAAACCAAAGTTCCAGAAAAAAGGTAACAGAAAAGCTAAGTAAAAAAGCCAAATGGTAGCTTATTCCATATAATTTTATCTATTTCTTTTAGTGCACATGCTAATTTATTTCATAAGAGAAATAAGTACCACATCTACTTAAGTCAAAAAAGGACCACATTAACTGCCTGGGGATCAGAATTCCCTAATATCTAAATACTTAAAAATGAACTTGAAATCAAGGGGAAGAGAAGGTGAATGACAAAGAGAGAAGCCAAGAGAGAAAAATTTAAGAAGCGTTAAACACATGGCAAATTTTAATAATCATTATATCCCTCTAAAAAAGCAAACCCAAAAATGGTTACCATCTCCAATTCCTGAGTTCCAAAATATTTTCACAGTCCACTATTCAGAAATCTTAGGACCCAATTCCAGATTTTACATGTCAATTAGTATGTATTAGTATTTCAATTAGTATTTCTTAAAAAATTATTCAGAACATTTTTTAAAAAGTTGACCATTTTTCTCTTATTTCCTTGTATTTGTTTTCCTCCAATTATCCAAAAGAAATAAAAATGAATTAAAATGATGCAATTTCCCTATACTTCCTCATTTTTTGTTCATTAAATACTTGAAGATAAGTATAGCACAACTACATGGGAGTCAAATGGCTAGTACATCAATTTTAGCTGTGGCACTAGCCAGCAATATCACCTTGGGCAAGTCAGATCACCTGACTGGGCCTCATTTTCTCCAATTCAAAAACTGGATTGATAACCTATGATTTTATACCCTCTAACCTCTTTATCAGGTGATAAATAAAAGGCAGTAACAAAGACTCTTGCAAAAATAGGCATAAACATGTCTTTTTTTTTTTGAAAGAGCGTGCGCGAGAGTGAGAGTGCACAAGAACAGGAGAAGCAGAGGGAGAAGGAGAGAGAAAACCAAGCAGACTCCCAGCTGATTATGGACCTGATGGGGTTCTTGATCTCAAGACCCTGAGATCACGACATGAGTTGGAACCAAGAGTCAGAATCTTAAACAACTGTGCTACCCAGGCGCCCCATACATATCTTAATGTAGGATTTCTTATCTTTGCTCAGCCCGAGCATTATGGCACTCCAGCAGTGTCCCACAGAATTTTCTGTGATAAATGGAAATGTTCTGTATCCATGCTATCCAGTATGGTAGCCAGCAGCTGCCTGTGACAACCAAACACTTGAAATGTGGCTAATGCCACTATGGAACTGATTTTTTTTAATTTAATTTTGATTAATATTAAATTAGTTAACATTAAACAGCCACAGGTGGCTAGTGGCTAAGGTACTGGTCCAACACAGTTCTAGATCCTATAAAAGTCATTTCTAGGCAGGGCTTTCCTAAGAACATGGTCTGCTCGATGTCTCTGTCACTGCAACTAACTGGGCATCCTCGTAGAAGTGGCAAGTTTCAACTGTGACAGGCATCCAAAGAGATGCAGAGATTAATACTTCACCTTCACTCATAAAACTCAGCCATCTACGTACTTTTTGCTACACTCTCTACATTCTTCAGCTCTATAGCCTGTTTCGATTATCTGCGAAGTCCAACCGAAACATGCTCTAAGTGCCATCTTCCCAATAATCACACTTAAATCAGACAGCTAATGTTTTACATTAAGCCTAAATAGTCCCCATTAAAGTATTAGAAAGCATACCTTGGCATCGCAATTTCCAACAACTTCAATTTTTTCTGCCTTCAGTTCCACATTTTGCTTTTTGGATGGACTTTTTACCAGCTGCCCTTGAACTTCCACAGAACTCCCAAAAGCCAGTTCTCTACAGTAACCAAAAACCAGCATAGACAAGGTATCATTATCTGGAACCCTCATTTTAATACAAAACTTGCTATCAGAACATTCCAATATTTAATGACAGAGGTTTTACCCTTCTTTGGGCAGCAAATAATTGAGAGAGGCTGAAGCAAAGAATAGACACGGGATATTATTATGCGAAGATGTTAGAAAAAGAAAGGCCTCCATCAAAAAAAAAAAATTAAATCTTGCCATTTGCAATGACATGGATGGAACTAGAGGCTATTATGCTAAGTGAAATAAGTCAATCAGAGAAGACAATTATATGATTTCACTCATGTGTGGAATTTAAGAAACAAATCAGGGGAGCATAGGGGAGTGGAGGGAAAAAAAAAAACAAGACAAAATCAGAGAGGAAGACAAACCCTAAGAGACTCTTAATCATAAGTAACAAACTAAGGATTGTTTAAGGGGATGGGGGTGAGCGCATGGGGTAACTGGGTGATGTAGTAAGTACTGTATATTATTTAAGATCGAAGAATCACTGACCCTTAAATCTGAAACTAATATTACGTTAATTAACTGAATTTAAAGAGAAAAAAAAGAAAAGAAAAAGAAAGGCCTGAGCTTGAAAGATCTTGATTCCAGATATTTGGACTTAAGCCTCAAAGCTCTGAAAAGTAGATTTGTTGAGAAAGATCACTCAGGGGGCAATATGAACACTGGATTAGAGAAATGGGGAACAGAGATGAAAGGAAAAAAAAAAGGTTCTTTTGTTATTTAAAAAAAAAACAAAAAACAAAAACCTCACCTACTATCAAAGCTTGAATCTGCTACAACCTGAAGGCTTTCCAAAGATGATCCATCATTAATATGCAGGAACAATACTTCCTTCTGGGATCGGACTGAACGAATCCATCCCTAATAAAGAGTAATTTCTAAATGTGAGTTTAAAACACACAAACATTTTACATTTTCATTACACATGCACATGTAAGACTAAATGGAAAAAACCAATATCCTGAATCCTGTCTTAACAAATCAATCGCTTTTAGCTCACTGCTAAGCATATATAATTCAATATGATTCTTATCGCAGTGAGATACAGCTTTGGCATCACACCTTTTTGCTCTGTTAATAAAACTCACCATTCTGAATAGATGCCAAACATTCCAGTAGGTGAAGAGCCTAATTCACATCATCAATTTCCCCAATATTGGCTATTTCACATATTTCTTCCTGCCCCTTGCTCCTTTTTGCCACCACAACAAATAACAGGACACATACTTTCGCCCTTGTCTCCTTTTATTTAAATTCCTAGAAGGGAGATTACGTATACACTAGAAACCTCTCCATTGGATTTTTGTTTCCCTTTTAGAATGTATCACACAAAGTTCTCAAACAGCTTTTCATTGTGAACATATATTAAGTAGTACATAAGCTTTCAAAGACACTCTGAATTCACATGACATGTACATGTGAATACAAATGAGAGGTATTCCAGTAGACCAATACAACTAAAAACAGGTCTCAAAGATAACATCCAACTTAAATTTAACTAGCAAAGAAACGGGAATATTCTATCAGACACTGAACAACTGTGAAACTGACGGTGTTTGATTAACTATCAGCCACGCTTGGGAAAAGGGAGATGATTCTACTTACAAAACTGTATTGGGGGTACCTGGGTGGCTCAGGTGGTGACCTCAGGGTCCTGGGATGAACCCCGCATCGGGCTCCCTGCTCAGCCGGGAGTCTCTTTCTCCCTCCCCCTCTGCTGTTCCCCCTGCTTGTGCTCTTGCTGGCAAACAAATAAAATTAAAACAAAATAAAACGGTATTGACCCTTAGCTGTGTTCCCACCATAACGTACAGACAATGCTACTAAAGCTCTTCTCTTACTTATTTGCATGTCCACAATACTTTCAAAGTTTAGGAACCATGCTTTAGTTGCTTTGAAGGCAATTGTCAAGCACAGAGTAGATAGTCCATTAATGTTTTATAGTGAAAAAATATCTACCATGCACTAAAAATCTACTGTGAGAAGTGTTTTACTACCTTCATGTACTATCTCATCACTTCTTCACAACAACTCTGTGGTGTGAACCTTTCCTACAAGTGAAGAACCTGGGCTCAAAGAAGTTAAATAACTTGCTGAAGATCACGCTGCTTGTTAACATAAAGCCTGAATTTGAACTTTTTTTAGGGCTACACTGAATAAAGTATACATTGCCTCAGTCTCCTATACAAGGCCTTTCACAATTGAGAGTGCCCATCTTTCTGGTTTCACCTGCCCAGGCTTCCCCAAAGGCAGCTGCTCTCTGGTCAGGTTCAATCAATAGTAATTCCTAAAGCACCACTGTCTTGCTTTTCACTTGTTAGTAAATGCTAACATTTGTGAAGCACCATTTAAAAACGTGCTTCTGTTCTAAGCTCTTTATAAATATTTTACTACTTAGTCCTTACAAGAACTTAATAAAGTGAGTATTAGAGATGAAGAACATATTTAGAGAAGTTAGGATAATCTCTCTAAATAATTAACATCACAGTTCCCAAGTAATAGAGCTAGAATTCAAATACAGTTCTTAGTTCAAAGTTCAAGTTATTACCAAACTTCTCTAGAATGCTATCTCCACCCCCCCACCCCGAGTTCCTCTGCTTGAGGAACTCCTATCCTTCAGGACTCAAGTGAAATGTCACTTAATACAAGAAGTCTTCCTTTACCTCACATAGTTAAGGACGTCCCTCTATATTTTCTCAAAATTTTTATACCACCAATACTAATCACATTGCCCCAATTACCAGTCTTAACCATTAGACCAGGGCTGACCCACAAAAACATAATGTGAGCCACATTATGTAATTCTGCATGTTTTAGTGGTCACGCTAAAGCAAACAGGTAAAATTAATTTTAATACTGTATTTAACCCAGTTATGCCCCAAATATCAATGTGTAATCAATATATATATTGAGATATTTTATATTTTGTTCTCCAAAATTGGTGTGTATTTTACATATACAGTTATCCTCCAATTTAGACTAGCTGCATTTCAAGAGCTCAATGCCGCAAATGGCAGGCAGTTACTAGCTTAGACCGAGCAGCATTAAAATGAAAGCCTTTAACGTAAGCAGTAGCTTTTACCTTTGAATCCTTTCTAGATTACCACTCCCAAGGGATCATTAAGGTATGTATGTCAAATAAATAGATGAATGGAGAAGGTTTTGGTTTGTATCATGGAAAAAATATGAAACCCAAAGAAATGCAGAGAGGTCACACTGCTAAAAATCAAGGATATCCGAGGACAACAAAAATAACTTCATCGGTGTTTCAGCGACCTATAAAAAACGGTCAAACCACCTTGTTTGGTCTACTCCCTTAAGGGAAAATCTTCTGTGTGGAACTGTTGCAACTGATATTAACAAGAGAAATAAAAGCAGCCAACATTTGACGTAAGCCATTGTTCTAAATGTCTTAATACCTATCACCTCACTTAATCTTCAGGACTCTATGAGGTTAAGGCTATTAGATTCATTGCCATTAAGAAGGAAACAGGTATAAAACACATAGGAAACATGCCCATAATTCATGAGCCACTTAGTGGCAGATTTGAACCTAGGCAGCCTAACTCCAGAGTTTCAAACTGCTACACTCTACTCTTTCTCCTAACGTATTAAATATATTATACACCACCCCCCATTTTTAGGCCTTGGGGGTTGTTAAAAGTTGAAAAAAAAAAAGCCATTGTTTAGTCGAACGAGTATTTACTGTCAGACATGTGTGAATACCAAGACCGTTTAAGACACGGTGTCATTTCTCAAGGAGCTAGCTCGAGGCAGGCACTATTAACTAGGGATGTTCATTATGAAGGATAAAGGAAAAGAGGCTCGTACGTTTATTCTGCTGTATGACTAACAAGTTTACAGAGAACGTCCCACCGGGAAAGCAAAGTTCCAGGACTTCACAGGCATCCCAAGAGTTCTGCAAAGAGCAACGGTAGGCAAAGAAAGGAGAAAAGTGTGAACGCACGCAGCTGACCACCTTTTCTCCTTTCCCTGCCTGTCATTCCTCCTGACAAGGCAAGCCTAGTCGTGGAGGTGCCATTTAAGTCATTAAAAAGAAAAGCCCACTCCCTTCCCATACACCAACCTGAACCTTAACGCGCTCCCCAATCGTGTTCTGGGCCCCAAGGGCATCCCGCACGTTCAGTCTGGATGAAGGTTTGTGTCTCGGGCAGGGAGTGGAGGAACAGGAGCGCAGGGCTCGGACCAGGCACCGGGCCCCAAACATCGCACGGCCGCCCCAAGCCCTCCTCGGGACCAGCCCCGATCCCGGCGGGTGCGGACCTTGCCTATGGTGAACCTCCCCCTCTCGACTGCTCCCCAATTATGGGCTGCAGCCCTGCACTCAGGCGCTCCACGCCCCCCAACCTCGGCTGCTCCCTGTCCCTTCAGGGGTTCCAGCTTTGTCTCCACAGAACCTCCACTGCGCTTCCCTCTCCCGGGACTGGGCGGAGCGGAGACAATAGAGTCAGCAGCGTAAGCCCAAAAAAAGCCACGCGCCGTGGCCGAGCGAGACACCTCACGGTCCCGCGTAGCTTCCAAACCCACAGCTCAGACCGCCTCTCCCAGCTGAAGCAAGCGCGACAGCCGCCACTACGTTACACGCCAACGTCAACGTCATCACGCTACAAGGAGGTTGAGAAGGAGCGTGCGCAGTTCTGACCCCAGTTTACGGAGAAGGCGGGCCAAAGGCAGGTGCAGGCCGAGTGGGGAGGGAGCGGGCCAGAAGCTCAGAAGGGGCGGAGCTAAGGCATTCCAGCCGTAGGCGTCCTTGCTGGGGCATATGGGGAGCACACCTGGGACAGTGCCTGCTTCAGAGGTCTTCATTTCTAAAGCTTCCAGCTGATACAGAGGAACACTGATGAGAGGCAAGGAGTGACTGAGGCAGAAGGAAAGCCTCCAGGAGACTTAGGTGTTGAGAGGATTAGCTTGAGAATATTAGTCGTTCTTAAGTCATAGATCCTTGCTTACATCACAGTTGTGTGGTATCACACTTCCAAACAGACAACTGCATAAAAGGGTGATCAGTTCCCTGGCGGAGGCCAACTGTAGGATGCCAGAGATAGATTGCTGGAAAAGGTAGCCCTCTAACTACTAAAGAGTAACTGAAGAGACCTTGTATATGCAAATCAGAGAAGGCAGACAGACAATGTGAAGATGTTGGAGACTGGAGGGAATGTCGGCCATTGCCTGCTGGATTCTCCAAGTCTCTCTTTTTTCCAACACAATTATCTGTATTTGTTTGAACTGGAAACAATAACCCTTTCAAATTTATCCACCACCCCCTCCTAAATTTAAAAAAAAATTCTATAGTTCACTGACAATCATGAAAAGGTTTCCATCCAATTAAAAGATAGAAGTAAGGGATAGCAACTTAAAGTTGTTGCTATTATTCATTTTACAGATAGAGGAATGTGGGCACAGAAAAGGGAAATGACTTGCTCAAGGATATACAATACATCCTATAAATGTGAGATTTAAACTTAGAAATTCCAGCTCCATGCACTAAACTATTATGCTATAGAGTGTCTCAGGGTGGGAAGTAAAATCACTGTTCCTTCCACCAAGAAGCTCATGGTCTAGACATGGGGAATGACAACAAGAGAGATTATTGCAATATAAAATTATAAGTACATATAAATATATAAGCCAAGTGGAGTGGTAGACTAGAAAAGGACATAAACTGAATTTTTGAGGAGTATCAGAAATTTGCAATACTGGGGGCGCCTGGGTGGCTCACTGGGTTAAAGCCTCTGCCTTCAGCTCGGGTCGTGGTCCCGGGGTCCTGGGATCTAGCCCCACATTGGGCTCTCTGCTCCACGAGGAGCCTACTTCCTCCTCTCTCTGCCTGCCTCTCTGCCTACTTGTGATCTTTGTCAAATGAATAAATAAAATCTTAAAAAAAAAAGAAATTTGCAATACTGGGATATAAGAAAGAGTATTTCCTACAAGGTGAACAGGAAAGGTTGCTAGGAGGGCAAACAGCCTGGAAGAATTGTAAAATTGTTCTCAAGACATACTAAAAAATACCTGCCACAAAAACACTAGAGCTCTTAGCCACTTCTTGAACTTTTTGAAAAGATGTATGGACGGGTACCTGGCTGGCTCAGTAGGATCATGCGACTCTTGATCTTGGGGTCATGAGCTCGAGTTCCACACTGGGTATAGAGATTACTTAAGTAAAAAATTTAAAAATATGGAAATGTCTAAATACCTTCAGAATTATGTAGCTGTGGGACTTAAACAACAACAAAAAAATAAGTATGGCTTTGGTGTATTGGCTACAAAATCTGGGAAGAATACGATCACAGCATTAATGTGTTTTTCAATTCGTATCTCCCGTTTGACTATGCCTACCTTGTCCAAGGGATGAAAAGTAGTGACCAATTGGCTCATTTCCTTCCCAGGCTGTTTTTCTGTCTTGCCTTCTTTCTCCACTCTTTTCCCCTCAATGTGTATTTTAAGAACTGTGGTCTTTACCACAGTGATCCTAACTTCCTTTACTCTCTCACCTACTGCTTGTCTAAGCCAAAGGGTGAATTCATTTCTAAGCGGGGGACCAGTGCCTCTTAGTACGATGAAGACAAGGGAAACCAGTGGGTGAAACTGAAAATTAGCAGTAGTTAATCAAAGGTGTATATAATTGTAGGTTGATTAGAGCATCTGTGTGTCTGCAACTATGTTCAAACCCCTCCATGTATCTTCTGCTAGATCAAATCATGTTTTCTTATTTTTATTTTCATGTTGGAATGACACTGCCTTTTTTAGATTCATCACCTTCCAGACAGTAACCAGAGTAATCTTACCACAATTAATATATTACTATGTTGATGATAATGATTTCTAGTGCTGTAAAATACTCCGTGCGAGGAATTTTTCACATAGTAACTCACTTAATCCTCACAATAACCCTTTGAAGTAGGGTTAACGTCATCATCCCCAGTTTCCAAAGGAGAAACTGAAGCTTGGCGAGGTTTCCAGCTTGTACCAAGTTACACTGGCAGTCTGGCACCAGAATCCATTCTCTTCCCCACTTGTTACTCCAGCGATTAAACTACTCTTCAGTTGCTCCCCCTACAACACAAAGAGAACTTGCCTTCTTCAGCATGCCTACCAGTCTCTCTAAGATTCAGGGAGTTCCCTGAGGTTCCCTGGAGTGAGGAACAGAAGTGAAACGTCCTCATTGTTACCTTTTATAATCCAAGTCCGGGCAATGAACACCATCAGCATTAGTCGTCAGCTTTAGAGGAGGTTTTAATCAGGCTCAGCATGACAGGTTTCAGCTTCACTTGCAAAGCTTCAGGGCTTCTAAAAGGCAGGCATTACTCTGATACTCCATTGGTCATAAAATACAACTCTGTGTTCAGGGTTTTCCTTATGCTTGAATGCATTTGTGAAACTCTCAACACCCAAAACTTGATATCAAGGTCATGACCTCAAAACAGAGAGGAACATGGTACCTGATGCAGAAATTATGGAGATTAGGTGTAGACAAGGAATGGATGAATATCACAAAGGATCCTGGGTTTCTCTGAAGAGGCTGAAGTTGGTCAGTACAATTTAACTTGAAAAATGGAAAGGCGCAGGCACAAAACAGAACACAAGTCACATGTGTAGTTTGGAACCTTCAGGAAAGTAGCTCATAATCTAGAAAGAAAAGCTGAGAAGTAAATGATTAATTAAAGGAAAAAGCACAGAAGAGCAGTAGTAAACAAGTGCTCGGGGAATAAGGCAATGTTCCTAGAGGAAGTGACATCTAAACTAAAGCCAGAGGATGAAAACCAGCCAGGATAAGAGGAATTATACGTGCCGAAGAGAGTTGGCAACCTTCCATATCATGATCCTGGTGAACTTACCCATGTCAGATATGTAAACTTAAGATTTATGCATTTTACTTACATACACCTCAACAAAAATATAAATTAAATATCAAAAACAGAGGAATCAAGTCTGATGCTAGAATTAGAGTATCTTCCTTCCCTGGTCAGTGCAAGAGACTTTTTTTTTTTTTTAATAGAACTTATGGACCATTTTTATGCATATAGAAGAGTTCAGTAAATAATGCAACAAAACCTCATAGCTAACACCTAGGTTTGTTACATCAAAATCTTAATATTTATTTTGTCCTGTGTCCTTGAGATCTTTCTCTTTTCAGGAAATGGACCTCCTTTGTACTTGTCTGCAATCCCATTTCCCTCCTTTCCTCCTGGTTAGAAGTAACTAGTATTCAGAATTCAGTGTTTATCATTTCCTTCCATGTTTTTACAGCTTATACACACAAAATTATATATATATACATATATATATATATAAAATATACATTGTGTACATATTCAAATATGTATATATAATATGCACATATCTATAGTCTCATATTGTTTTGCATATTTTTAAAATTTAAGTTAATGGTATCTTACTTTATAAATTATTCTCCAACTCAAATTTAGTTTTTCACAAATATACATGTAGCTGCAGCTCATTCTTTATAATATTCTATTAAATGAATATATCACAATTCATTCATTCTCATTCTGATAGTTATTTGGGCTGTTTCAATGTTTTTCTGTTATAAACAGCAGTGGATTTACCATGAAGTTAATGAAAGGTAAACTCATACCCTTCAGAATCCCCCTTTCTCCGGCCCCTCCCCGCAGTGCCGGGTGCTGCTGGGAGTTGTAAAAGAAGAGGGCAAGAAATTGGGTCTCTTGCCTGATGACTCTGGCTCACTCCGAAAAACACTTCCGGCTCTGTAGTTGGGTCTCACATCCTTTCCCTGGTTTCTTCCTTTTGCTTTCAGGAGGCCCTCTGAGACTTGAATTTAATTTCTTATGCTATACTTCTGCAACTACTATTATTAAACTCCTAATGTATTTTCAAACAGATCGTAACAAAACAGACCTGCAGTCCAAGCCACTTTCCAGATTTAGGGTGGGGGGAGCACCAGGGCACAATGGCTGGAGCATGACTCCAGGGGTGCAGAAAGAGCTTCATCCCCCACTAACTCTCCTGGGGCACCAGGGCAATCAACATAGAATATTTTGTTCACACATTACATATGCAGAACTTGTCTATCTGCAGGATAAATTCCTAGAAATAAGACCAAAAATCTGTTTCAGAAATATCTTTCATATTGTTTCATGTATCCAGTTGCTCTCCTCATCCCCATTTTGAGATACGGACTGGTCCACTGCAGTTTTAGTGTCTATATGTTTGGCAAAGATCTGGAAATTTTAGAAAATAAACTTCTGTAATGCTCTGTGTCTATACTGCAGATGAAAGAAAACATACTTATTCCCAGGTGTGGCTAAGGTTTTTTTTTTTTAATCACCCTTTAAAATTTAGATTTAAGAGAGACTGGACACAGTCTGCTACTAGATAGGTTACTACAAATTTCTATTTTGTACTATTACTTCTTGAGTTGGATACTTGTTCATTGGTTGGCTCCTTGGTAAACGTTTACATTTCTGAAATTGGGGTTCAAAGGA